AATTCATAATACTATAAATCAATCACCAATAACTTGATTTAAACGAAACACTTAATTCATTATTTCACCTTGAATAGTATCGGTACCCAAGATACAGTACCGATACTTCTACACTATGGTATCGATACTATAATTCATATCTATACCCACTTTCGATTCTGGAATTTTATCTTCATAATGGTATAGATACTACTTTTTCGATATCGATACTAATTAAAGGATTTTATACACTTTACCTTATGGTATCGATACTCAGACCCCGATCTCACCTATTTTTTACTTTGAAGTATCGATATTGTTCATCCAATACTGATACACCTTGCCCAAAACTTACTTATTTAACCCGAAAATCAACCAAACTCAGCTAAATTTCTCATTTAACTCTTCTTTAAAACCTTTAAACTCAACTACACTTATTCAAATCAACTTATCTTACTTTAACTCATCTTAACATCTAATATCTAACTAGAACACTGAAACCTAAAAATCATACCAAATATTCAACATGTCTTAAATCCATATCGTATACTTTAGATTCCTTATTTCAGCTTATGACAAGTCAAATATGACTTTAAAATTCATTTACAAACTCTCTCTCAGTAATTCACTTAAAAACCCCTTATATTCAATCTCCCCTAATTTATCTATCTTTTAGTTTTACACAACATTAAGTTTTCCTTAAGCTTGTGTATCACTCAAAGACCAAAACCCAAACTTAAAATTCATGAAATAAACAACTAAAATAATTCTTACCTTTAACCAAGAACTCACGGTGGAAGAATGTTGAACTATGTTTCGATATAACAATTTAAGGCAAAATGGTTTTTGGACTTGAATTGAATTTACAAAATGTATTTGGACTTAATTGAATTTATTCAAAATTTACAAAAAATAATTCAAAGTTCTTTTAATTTAAAATTGAGCACAAAAATGTTTTTATGAATAGTAATTTACTATTTGATCAGTAAATTACTATTGGAACAGTAAATCACTGTTTGAACAGTACCCGAGGCTCAAAAATTCCAGTATGTAAAAGGGGAACCGATTCCCCCCAAGGGGGTACCGATTCCCTCACTGTTCATCAGCCCAACGGTCATAATATTTGAATATTATGAAGGGGATCGATTCCCTATGAAGGGGTACCGATTCCCCCCATTTTGGGCAGTCTATTTTTGCAGAAAAATCATTCCCAAACGGCTCCAAAACATCCCTAACTGCTAGATATGACTTCAAACACATTCCAAGCTATAAATACAAGCTAAGGACACTTGAAGAAATAAGAGAACAACTATCCAAGCAATCAAACACAAGAGAAGAATTTTTCATTCTTATTTCATCTTTCTCTTGTATATATTTTGTTCTTGTGAGCTCAATCTCGTAAACACCTACCTTAGAGAGGTTTTCTTGTTTACATTTCTTATCCTTTTGTAAAGGGGAAAGGTTCTAGCTTAGCCCGTGTAAAAGCTAGGGAAAGGTTCTAGTTTAGCCCGGAAAAACTAGGGAGTTTGTAAGGTTACTCTTTATCCTCAAAAGAAAGAACAAATTAGTGAATTTGTTGGAAAATCCTTGGTGAGGAGCTAAGGTAGTGGACGTAGACTTTGATTGAGAAAGTCGAACCACTATAAATCGCTGTCCAATTCTCTATCTTTCAATCTCCTTACTCCCTAAACACAAAACCATTCCGACCCCTCTTTGCAAACCGTTCTGGTTGTCGTTTCGAGCTTCCGAAAATCCTAACAAAGAAGAAGAAGAAAAGACTAGACTTCCAGATTTTTCTTTCCTTTCCCCTACTATACGTGGATATATATAACACCACTATAAGTTTTTAATTAATTTCCTTACCAAATAACCATTATGCCCTTTCCACTTCCACACTTTGCTATTAAATCTAACACCAAGATACTCCAATTAAGTCCTTGAACTTTCTAAATTTTCTGAAATTAAATCACAAAGTTTCAAAAACTTATATTTTAGTCACTAGCCTTGTTTTGGGGATGCTATAGAATTTATCAATTATAAATTTTGAGTATGGGGATAAATGGTAGGAAAATTTATAAAACGATTAATAGTGGTTTGACTTATCAACCAAAGTCTACATCCACTACCTTAATTGTACACTAAGGATTTTTTTAAAATTCATTAATTTGTTATTTCTTTTTTCTAGGCTCAAGAGTAACTTTTTAAAAATCCCTAGTTTTCAATAGTTAAACTAGAACCAAAATCCCTTTTACAAAAAGATAAAAAATTGTAAACAAGAAACCATCTCAAGGTAAGTGTTTACACAATTATGTTCCATCTCAAGGTAGGTCAATTATGTTCACTAAAAACTCTATGCACAAGAGAAAAGGAAAAAATAATATTGATAGAGTTATTCTTTTGACATAGATTGCTTGGATAGGTGTTGTAACCTTCTTCAAGTGTCCTCAACTTGTTTTTTGTTTTACGTTGGAATGAGTTTGTAGCAATTACTAGTCGTTGGGAATGTTTTGGAGCCGTTAGGGATTGAAAATCTGCAAAATAAAACTGCCTAGACTAGGGAGTATCGATATTCGGGCTAGGAGTACCAATACTTCCCTAATAACTTTTAAATAAAATAGTCGTTAGATGACCACTGGATTGGGAAAATATCGATACTAGGGTGTATCAGTATTGTTGTAATAGTATCAATACGAGTATTGGTACTATTTTTGCTTACTGGAATCCGAGCACACTTGAAACCAATATGTAATATTGGCTTTGTCATATGAGTATCAATAATCCTCTTCTCTTTGTTATCGATATTGCAATAACAATATTGGTATTGTTCATGAGATATCGATATTGTACGAACAATATTGGTACTGTTTATCTAGAAAAACTATTTTGTATTCAAATTCAAGTTTTATGGACTTTGAATTATTTTTGAAAACTCTGAATAAATTCGATCAAGTCTAAAAATAGTTTTCCTTAAATTTGTTATATCAAAATATGTTCAACACCTTGCCAGCATATAAGACCTAAACAAAACTTTAATAGTTGATGATGACAAGTTTTTTTTAAAGATTAATCATTTCACTAAATTATTTTCAATCTTTTAAGATTGATAATAATTTAGTGAAATGATAATAAAAAATTATTATTAATATTCAATTAAAATATCACTTTGATTCTTATTTTTTAAAATATTTTAATTTTTAATGTTTTGTTTTTGGATAAAAACATTAACATGTGACTAAATAGTCACTTTAATCTTTTTTAGAACACTTTGACTCTCAACATTTAATTCTAGATGAAAATGTTTCAATTTTAGAGTGTTGGATGTTTATTGACTAATGTTTTCTATCAAGAAAGTGATAGTTTTATCCTAAAATAAAACGTTGGTGCTAAATACTTCAAAAAATAGAGATCAAAGTGATTATTTAATCTAATGTTATGATTAGTTTTTTATATTATACCTTTTGACTATTAACTATTAAAATTAATATATACAGTGACATAAATATGTATAATAATAATTTAGTCATCAAAATTTATATTATCTATTAATTTAGTTATAATATAAAATAATTTCATATTTTTTAATATTTAAAAATCTTATCAATTTAATCTTTATTTTAATTTTAAAATAGTTTAATAATTTAAAATTCAATTCTCTGATTTTCTAAATGTACTTAACCGTATGGTTAGTGGTTTAATTGAAATAATTTTAATAATTTAGTGATCTAATTGATAAAAATTTTAGTTTTGTGATGAAAATATATCCATTCATATAATTTAGTGACTATATGGAAAGTTTACCTACTTTGCATTTCTAATCTTACTGACAATCCAGCTTTTAACGCTTTCAAGGTTGGAACTATCGGCATGAGCTGGCAAAGCAGTGGGACCCACATGAATCAGAATGTTCAATTCTTACGACGTCACTTCGGGAAGTACGACGTGCGAGCCATCTCACGTACTTTAACGCCACATCACACGGGAGACCTTGACGAACCAATTTAGCCTAACCAAGCATTTCAAACTTTTAATCCGACAATTAATGAAGTATTAGTCCGCAACTTGCTTATTTGAAATATTTCAAAAAATAGTGAAAATAATATAAATGATGTCAAATAAAAGTTGGTCATTTTTGTATCACATATTTATTATCAATAGTCATATGTGAACCTCTAACATCGTATACGATTATATTTAGGGTGCATTTGGATGAAGTATTTTAGGATTCCTAGCAGAAATATTTTTTTCCTGATTAAGGATACCATGTTTAGTTGGGTATTATTTCCCAAATGAAGGTAATATTTCTTTCCCAATAGTAAATATTCCTGAGAATGTTATTCCCCACACCCGTTAAGTATTCTTCTAATCTCGTGTGCTAAGGGCTAAAATACCATTCTTTTTCCCATTTACCTCTGCGATATCTTCTTCTCCCGAACGTGTATTGTTTGAATTACAGTCCTGTATTGGCATGCCATAATTGAAAGTCACAAAACTCAAAACATTACATGAAGACAAACGGCTTTGACGTAGCCTTTGGAGTCTGACCGAGAAAGCAATTCTGATTCCTCTTTTGGTTGGGTTTGTATTTCGATTGTTTTCCCCCCTACATTCTTCGTGCGCCCAATCAATCATCGTTTTCTCCTACCCTTCTCCCCTCTAATTTCTCAGGTAAGAAGCAATTACTTACTTTTAATATTAATATGGAACGCTTTTTTTAGTGTTATTCCGATTCAATCATCAACAACTTGGGTCCGTACATAATTCAATTGTTTATTTAATTTTAATTTTGTTCTGTTATTTATTGTTCGTTAGAGTTGTGGGGGTTTGGCGGCTTGATCTATTTCTTGTGGTTGAAGAATATGTGGGTTGCTTCATGCCTTGCATCGTGTTGTGCGGAGTGCGCCTGCGATGCGTGTCGCACGGTGGTTTCGGGGATTAGCCGGAGGTCTGCAAGGATCGCCTATTGTGGACTATTTGCCCTTTCTATTGTTTCATGGATACCCCGTGAGGTTGTCGCTCCTGTCATGGAGAACATGCCTTGTAAGCTTCGTTCAATTTTTCCTGTTTTATTTTATTCTGGTTATTGCTAATTTTGTTTGATTTCTTTGTATTATTAATTATTCGGAGCATGCTTTGTTGATTTCAAGATTCCAACAATATTTTGGTTACCTGTTGCACTGAGCGAGAATGCTGCTGCAAAATAGTAAATAATATCCAAGCAAAAGTGGGCGGAGAAGTTAAATTCTTTTATCTTTTTTTCCATTAGCTTAGTCTTTCACGGGGCTAAATGCAAACATGCTCTCTTAATGTTTCAGGTCTTTTATCAAATTTGAAGAATGTTTCGATTTCCATGTGAATCTGAACATTTACTACATTACCATGTTTATTGCTTTGAGTGTAGTTTATTGAATCAAAATGGTTTCCTGGATGAATGTGAGATTGTTCTTTTATACATTTTTCTTTGATTGCTGGATAGCTGGTATTAGTTTGTCATGGACCATGATGTTCCGTATTAGTTTGTCATTAATTATCGACATAGGACCCATTTCATGTGTAATGTTTTGCATGTTTCTCGAGGAAGAAAAGTGAATGTGTTGTCTGTGTCTTGCATATACCTAGTTTGCTGATTTAGCTTAGTTAATATTGTTATTTATACAGGGATCAATCAGTTTCACAAAACACCCAACAGGGAATGCTTTGAAACAGATGCGGTGCTCAGGGTCAGCTTGGGTAATTTTTTGTTTTTCACCATCCTTTCATTTTTAATGATTGGTGTGAAAAAACATAAAGATCCTCGTGATGGATTGCACCATGGTGGATGGATGATGAAAATTTTCTGCTGGTTCATTTTAGTTATTTTGATGTTTTTTGTTCCTAATGAGATTATCAACTTTTATGGTAAGTTACACTGATTTTGTATCAATCCACTAAATTAAGAATGTCATTATTTTCATTTTCACAAAAACAAATCATTATTTTGAAAGTCTTTACATGCTATAGCCTATAGGTGACGATTTCTGACAGAGCATTCACAAATAATTAAAGGAAATGATAAATTATCTAAAGTCACTTCTGATTTTACTTCATCTGAAACTTAAATGTTGTATTTGCAGAGATGATTTCAAAGTTCGGCTCAAGATTGTTTCTTTTGGTTCAAGTTGTTCTTCTACTTGACTTCGTTCATGGATGGAATGACAAATGGGTTGGATACGATGAGCAGTTCTGGTTAGTTTTTCTTTTTGATGTTTTTATGATATTTCTTCACTGTATTCTTCTGATTCACGACCTGCTTGTTTTATATGTATAGGTACATTGCTCTGTTTGTTGTTTCACTTGTTTGCTATTTGGCGACATTTGACTTTTCGAGACCTCTTTTCCACTGGTTCACTCCATCTGGTTCACTCGTGGTATTTATAAATCACTATGTTTTGGTTGTTTCTATTGCTACGCATCATGTTCTTGTTCTTGTATCGTCGATACGAACATTCAGTGTAGAGTTCAGTAACTGTAACCCCTTCTGTTTCTGGTTTCCCCTGATAAGTGGAACCAAGGAAACCCCTTCTGTTTCTAGATTGCATTTCAATAAATCAAGGAATGATACCATAAGGGGCAGAAAACCATCAATGGTTATGGTGCCATTCGCATTTTCAAATTTGCAAAAGCTTTTCCGGTACATGTTCATGTTGGATACATGTATGTGTCGAACTCAATGCTATTTGGATGATGCTCTCAACCAATTTTGAATGTAACATAATTATCATGTGGGTTGCTAAAATTTTAAGGTCGTAATTCAACCGATTGAACCAGTTCAATCGAGAATCGGCTGGTATAGGGTTCATCTGTCTAAAATTGGAAATTTGAAGAATTGTTGTGAGCAACTTCAAAACCAAAACCAAACATTGAAATAGGAAAAACCTGATGAACAAGTTCTTTTTAGGTTCTCTGTTAATAGGGTCTTTAATTCGATCAATCGAACCAATTCAAATGAGAGTCGGTGATCTAGTGGTTACAAAATTGGAAATCCGAAGAACTGTACTTAAAAACCAAAAATTGAAATAAAAAAGACAGATAAACAAGTTATTTTATGGCTTTTGAATTTCTTTTTAGGTTCCTTGTTAATATGGTGTTTAATCGAACCAATTCAATTGAGAATTGATTAATGTAGTGGTTGTAAATCATTCATAAATATAAACAAATATAAGAGCATACTTTATTAAAAATATTTGTCCAAAACGGTGAATGCCAAGAGTTTATATAATGAACTTTCCTGTTATCTTGAGTGATAATAGTAGAAGAAATAGAGAAAAGATGATAAAATAGAAAAGAAATATTTGAATTACAGATAATATGATTTTAGTGTTATATTTTATTACTTATTTGAATTATGTTTTTGTAATATAAATTAATGAGATAAATAATAATGATAAAGTATGTAAAATTAAGTATAAATATAAAAGATAAATAAATTATTGTATATAGAAGATATAATAAATTTTATATCTTAGATACAAAAATAATTTATATATTTTTATTATTATGAATATCTATGAAGAATTTCCACAATGTAAACATTTAGTTAAATGTTGAAAATTTTAATATATTTTTACATAAATTATGTAAAATTTAATATTAATTAAAATAAAAATAATACATGATATATTTAAATACTCAAGTAATATATTATCAACAAATAAAATTTTTATATAAATAATTTTTATTTAAATATTTAGAATTTCATTTGTTAAAAAAACAAATATAGAACAAGGATAATTTGGTAAAATATACATTCCAGTAATCTTTTATTCCTTCAACCAAACACTGTAATCTTACATTCCTACCAAACTAACCAAACACAGTAATGTAACATTCTCAGTAATCATATTCCCTGGTAATCTTTTATTCCCACTGGTAATCTTACATTCCGTGAACCAAACGCACCATTGGGGATATATATTTGAATCAATTAAGTTAAGTTGAAATTTTAAATTATTTAAATTGATGAATTTTATTTTATAATTCAAAATTTAAAAAAAAATTAAGCCTAATCGAGCTATTCAAATTATTGTTTAAATTTAATTGTAAGTATTTATAATGTTATAGTACTATTTGACTGTATTTTGATTAGTTTTCGATAAACATTACAATATACAAATATATTTCTTCATATTTGAAAATCAATCAATTAGTTACTAAAAAAATTTGAGTTATTCTAGTTTAAAATTTGTTGAGTCTAGTCAAGTCGAATCAAACTTTTTAACATTAAGTCAAGTTAAAAAATTGAATTTGTTGAGTCAATAGATGAATGAAAGTGACCAAAAGGGGGTGAATTGACAATAAAAATTTGTTGGAAGCTTTTGCAAGAAATAAGAAAATGACAAAAGAATTTTAGAATGGTTCAACTTCCTTAATGAAGTCTACATCCACTACCTTAGCTTCTTAAATAAGGATTTCAACAAATTCACTAATTTGTTCTAACCTTTTAGGACAAAGTGTAACCTTACACAACACTAAGACTTATACCTCAAATGCACAACCCTTCCTAAGAAGAAATTATAAATGAGCAAACTTTGAGTATCCTCACAAAGATAGATTGCTTGTAATTGAAGCTCTTACACACACCCAAGAACACTAGAATAAAAATTACAATGAATAGAATAATGTTCAATGAAAGAAAGACACAATTGAATATAAATTTGGCTTCATTTTCTATATGAATGTTAGAAAGGTTTTCTTGTCTTTTCTTGGCTATTTCAAGATCCCATTTATATGATCTAGTTGATTTTTAGTCGTTTGAGGTTGTTAGAGGGAGTTTGGAGCCGTTTTAAGCATTAAAGTTGCGCATTAAAGGCTACTTGCACAGGAAGTTTCGAAACTATTCAAAAGAATAAACAAAATTTTGACCATTGGAACCCAAAGTTTCGAAATTTTAAGGGAAGTTTTGAAACTCTTATGAAACTTTTGAAAAGTTTTTAAACTTTAAAGTGTTATTTTTTTTCAAGTTTTGAAACTCTTGGTCAAAGTTTGTTTAAAATAATGATTATTGCTATTTTGAGAAAAAAAATATAACCTTGAAGATTGTTCTAAAATGTTTGAAGGATATATTTGATATAATTTGAACTTAGAACACTTATTTTAAAGATTGGATAAACTTTAGGGACTTAAAAGTAATTTTACAAAAAATAATATATATTATGTTATATCAAAATAATTTATGTTTACCAATCTCCCCTTTTTGATATAACAAAACATTTTTGTAAAAAAAAATTGATTCAAAACTTATCATAAATTTATAAAATTATATAGCAATCAAAAATAATGAAAATGAATTTTCATTTAACTCCCTATTTGAAAAATTATATAGCGGCGTGGCCATCTATCACCCTACCATTAGGCTAGGGCACTGTTAATGTTATATATATATATATATATAAAGGCTTAAGGCTCGGGTTATAATACCTAAACCCTAAATTCTTAAATTTAATAACCTCAATCCCTAACCACCACTATCTCTTTATCAATTCCTCGTTGTATGACCATCTTTGGAGTGCACTACCACCATCATTTGACTCGCCATCAACCGAAAACCAAAACCCCTCCAACCTCGCTCCAAAAATCGGCATCGTTTGCCATAAAAAATCATCCCAAAGCTACATCGAAAACTCACCCTCGTTGCTTCGATTTTTCATCTTTTTCGATCGACCCCGACGTTTGTTCGCCACACTACCGCCACCATGAGACTCTCGAGGTGATGATCTTCAAAACTGGAAAATTTCACACCGAACCAATGACCGGAGCCACTGCACGTGCCGCACACGTCGCTCCCTGTGCGTGGGCGTCGTTTGGCAACCAGGGGTCTGTTGAAAAGATGAACTAGTCTAATCCGATTGGACCGGTCTGAATCGATTGAATCGGTCTAGAATGAGCCGTTTGAGCCACACCGAGCTGAGCCACGCAAAGCTGAGTTGTTGACCATGCGTTGACCGATCGTTGATCGCTGTTGACCGACCATTGACTTTTTCCGGGAACACCTATCCTGATGTTTTCAATGTCCTTAGTCCTTTTTTAAGGCATGTTTCACCAAATTTGATCCCAGTAAGCTGTTTTTCACTGATTAACCTCTCGATTCAATATGTTTTTCGTAATTAAACTACGATTCTGATGTAATTTCTGTTGATATATATCTGAGATATTATCGGATGTTGGATTCAAGTTTGAGAGTGATCGAATAGAGTTTGAATGTTCGTCCGGTGTAGCTTGAGAACCGAGGTAATATTTTACTACCCTATGCATGCTTTATGGTACATGTTGGTATTACTAAGTGCATGAATGAATATGTTTCGTCTCATCTGTATAGTTAATTATTTCTAAATTCGATTATAATGTGGTAAAAAGTAAGTAACTGAATAAAACTCTGATGACTCATATAAGAAATTAGAAAATTTATAAGAAATAATTCCAAGTTCCATGAATAACCAGTGAAGCGTTTAACCTCATAACCCTTAAAATTTGATTACTCTAGTTAAAAATTGAAACACCGAAAACACCTAGATAAGAAGTTACAAAATTACCCTTGAGAGGTAAAAATAGCCCATATTGACCTTGATTGAGAAAGTACCATGAGAATTCGTATATAATCCGATAAATTATTGATTTAACTGTTAAGTTCCTATTTTGTTTGGAAGATTTCTGATAAACAGTTCGTAACCTCTGAGAATGCACTAGACCCATAATTTCTTATTTATGAGTATTCACCCGAATATTAACTTATCGAAAGTACTCTTATTGTCAGAATTGTTCGAAATAACTGAAATAAATGACAAGTTTGAATTAAATGAAAAGACTGGATGGAATGAAAGGACTGAAATACCCTTAAACTGTATAATGATAAAAATACCCCTTAAGTGTGAAATGGCCTAAACTACCCCTAAGCTCTGGAATGCCTGAATACCCTTAGGGGTATTCGATCATGGAATTGATTATTACTGGAGGAATTTTTTTTTTCTAGAATGTAATACCCACGTTTGGATGGGAAAGATTCCCAATTGAGAGTAATAACTCATTGCCAATAGTAACTTTTTAAGGGTTTATTATTGGGAATTTCATTCCCAAATATTACATAGGTATTTATTTATTCCCGTGTGTTTGGGCTAAAATACCCTTACTTTGTTCCTTATCTTCTTCTCCCCGTGACCTAGTTTCTGTCTAGAAAAAAAGTTCAGTTTTTTTCCAATCATTTCCTCCTGGTAAGATTTCTCCTCCACTCCCTTTCTTTTATTTCAATTAATAATACTTAGTTTTCATTTTTTTTGTTTATGTCAAAGAAAATCTTTCGATTCTTCTGTTAATGGTGCTTTTAATTGTTTTTGTTTTTGATTCTTAGTTTCCTGCCTTTTTTTATTCTTAGTTTTCATATTTTTTGCTTTTGTTTCTGTTAAAGAAAACCTTTTGATTCTTCTCCTAATGGTGGTTTTGAATGCTTTTGTTTTTATTCTTAGTTTCTTGTTTTTGTGCTTTCGTTTCTGTCAAAGAAAACCTTTTGATTATTCTCCTGATGGTGCTTTTGATTGCTTTTGTTTTTATTCTCCTCCCCTTTTGATTAATTTCAATTAATGTTTCTTTTAGAAAGAAAAATACTTTAGAATTCAAACATGTCTTATTTTATGATGCTTTTTCTTGCTGGTAACAAAAATTCAAAAGGTATTGAAAATGAAGGGGTTTTTTTCTTGTTGGTAATATATATATA